CAAGCAGCGGGGCTGGGAGGACATAACCTTTACTGGGTAGGATAATCTCCTTCACTTCTGTCACTTCCTTGTAGCTTATCAGTAGAGCAGTAGAATAGTGACCTTGGAATAGCCCTTATAATGGAACACAGAGATTAACCTAGACAAGATTAAAATCAACAGAACTAGATAGAGACAGGATTTTTGGCAAAGGTCAGATAAGAAACTATGGAAATGAAACAAGGAACTGTAGAAGGTTACCCAAAACATACTATGATGTGATTATAGAGGCATGCTTATAGGATCAAATGGTATAAATACAGATGTAACAGGACAATAAAGAGAGAACCTGGCTATGCTGATCAACTGAACGCTGCCTTCCTTCTTCGCAGACTCCGTCCACACCTTTGGGAACCCCTGGACCTGCCGGGGCTGGACCCCAACACTCTGTAATGTTGTTGTTGGCAAAGTGGTGGTCTCCCATAATTAAAACCATAAACAATAACCTAGTGTGATTCACTGTAAGATTTGACATCATTTAGGCTAGCTTCTGCTCCTCCTCCTCCCCACTGGTGACCTTCATACCAACTCTAAACAACCGAGGGCAACAATATACAATCACTTGTAAGATCTTTCCTTGAAAATTAAACTATGATATTATCAACATAAGAAACAATTGATCTTATAGTTACCAGATCTTGATAGCCATCTGTCAAAAATTCATGTTTGGTTTGGTCTTCTCCCTCTAACTGCTGGTAAAGAACTGCAAACTTCTCTATCATGTTATCATACACGACTCGAGGTCTCTCCCATGTAACAAGAAGGCTGGTGTAATTCTTTGGGTCGGCTTGAACATTTTCTGGTTCTGAGCTACAAACTTCAGAGAGGAAAAAAATACAGTTATTGATACAGCTGTCAACCTCTAGGATTTTAACAAATACTATATCATATTCTACTAGTGGCCTGGTGCACGAATTTGTGCACATTGAAAGGAAATTAATTAGAAGAAATATTTTAATATCATTCCTCCCTCTTTCTCTATAATAGAAGTGTCAACCAAATTCACGATTGACAATGAGAGATCGAAACACAGGTGTGCAATTGGCACCAGCGAGAGCTTTATATATATCGTGCATGCGCAAGTCAATTTAGCCTTTTATAGATATAGAATAAACTTGCTTAATTAGACCTGCTTTCTGATTTAGCTAAACTTTTTCCAGCCCAGTGAAGCACCCCAACTTCTCTTTCAGGTAATTGTCAGCAAGACAGCAGTAAATATCAACATAAAGCAGATTATAATTGTAGATCATGCAGGGAGAACAAAGGGTAAAATATTTAAGTGCAGCAGTGTTTGACTATATTCTGCACGGTGAGAAAACCTGAAGTCATTTTCAAGGTCCACCATTTCTTACTTCTTTTCAGTCAGGTCAAGTTTCTAAGCTTTCTAAATTTCCGTTTTCCGGCTAATGAAAATAGGATTCCACTGAGTCTCCTATCTACCTACTCCAGGACTTCTGTGAGGATCAAATGAGATGAGGCATAGGAAAATGCTTCATAGACATTTGGTTAAAGTGTGAAATGTTTCCACCTGGCTATAAAGCAAGTCATGTTCCTGGGCTGAAGAAACTGCAAGGAAGCTAGTTGTTGCTAGGAGAGGAAGCCAGGCATTGCTACGTGATGTTATTACCCGGATGGCCGGACAATTAGCATATTATCCTTTTATATATAAATAGATGATTTTTTTGTATTTTATTTCAAAAGAATGTAAAGAGTTATACTTAGTTGCTGCAGAGCTTTTGTTTATGCCATTTCCTGTATATGAAATACTTCTTCCTTCCCACCTATCACTAGCTGTTCAAGTCCTACATTTCCATTCAGAAGAGTTCTAGGCCACATGCTCTGACTTCTGCTGAAGTGATCTGTGTCATTTGTCTGCTTGGTTTTACTACTGGATTAATTGCATTTTCTCTTATATTGTTTTTCTGAATTGGTCTTTCTTAACTTCTCTAGCAGATTATAAACATAAAAGCTATAGCCTTTTATTTCTAGATTGACTAAAATGCTACCTTGAATATTTGGCATTATTTTTGGAAATAAATGTACAAAGGACATCTACAAATTTACGATGACTTTATGTCTCTTGTTAGGTACTTGGCAAATGTGTTTAGCTTGGGACGAGGAGAATTTCAATTATAAAATATGGTCTACTACTGGACATTTTGTTGACAGAAAATCCTTGAAATAATTAAAAATTTCACACCAGAGAAAACCATAGGAGAACAAGTAAAACAATCATTTCAGTATTTTTCAGATCTGCTAACAAAAAATCCTACTTTGACATAATAAATTGATTAAGCAATTAATTTCATGGAATTAGAAAGTTTGCTTATCTCATCTGAAAAAAAATATTTTGAAAATCTTTCAAGGACTTATAATAGAATTCAAGCCTATGCTGGGAATGGTGCCAAATACTTAGACCCAACAAAAAATATACTCTGATACTTTTCTGAAACAGTTTCATAATGTCGTAGTTTTAAGCTTATTGTGAGTATGGAAAATAGAATATTTTATGGTGTTACAATTAAACCAAAATATTAGTATTTTTTCTTTTTTGACCCTAGGAACCCGGAAACCCGGATTTAATTATGTCTCTTTGTAACTTGTATATTTATAAATTAACTAATACTGAGGTTTGGATTAAAGGGGCTTTTAATTTATTAACACCCGGGATTGAGTCCCTGCCCCGCACCCCT